CCAAACATATATTTAGAGTACTCGCATTAATTCCAAACGATAATTATTTTGTTTGTTTTTCCCTATCAATATTTTTTTTCTTGTTTATCATACAATATTAGAATTTAATTTATATAGATTACACATAAGATAACGATGAAAAATTCCAGAAGTAATAGCTTACTCTTGGTTTTGCACGATAAAGATTTGTATCAAGAAAATGATGCATTTGTGCATCATCACGATAATGTTCATTTCCTTGACTTTCAAAAAACATTAAATCAGGTACAGTTTGTTCTGGTAAACTAAAATATAATATAAAATAAAGAAAAATTTTATAAAGTTTAACAAATAAAATAGAATTAACTTGGCAGCTAATAATTGCGAAAAATTTGCAAATGTACTTGAAGGTCTTAAATTATTTCCTGATGGTGATATATGTATAGCTGCTGATGATGGTGTTGGTACAAGTCCTTTTGATGTATCATGAACCTTCATAGCTGATTGCATATTTATTTTTTTAAATGTTTGTAACAATTTAATATCCATTTTTTCTTGAGGTGTTTCACGTAATAACCAACGTTTAAAATAATTTCGATCAAGATTTCGACATCTAGAAATGTGTTTGATGTCAAAAAAAGAAACATTAAGAATTTTCCTTTTTTTTTCTTGTTTTAATCTTCATACTTATCACGTAATGAATTACTTCCACCGCTACCAGATATTTCTTCAAGACAAGTCATGACATGATCCATCATCTTTATATAGGAAATAATTTAAATTAAAATTAAAACTAAAAATTTTTATATTTTTACTCGATTTGTTAATTTAGCTGACATTGTTGGTTCTTCAATTTGTTTGCGTCGTACATTAAGACATTTAACAAGTGGACCAATAGTAATACCCTAAATGTATGTATAAATAATAATATATGATTTTTTTATTTGATATTTTACTTGAACAAAAACAGTAAAAAAGACAACAGCAATTGTTGCTGTAACAAATTCTTTTTTTCTTGGAATTTTTGTTTCATCAAGAATAAGAGCAAGAGCAAATGCAATAGCACCACGTAAACCACCATAAGACATAATTAACATATCAATACGTGTTAATTCAAGTAAGCGCCAACAATTGGCTAAATTAGCAAATATTGTAATACCTTAATGAAGAATAAAAAAAAAATCAACAAACAAGATTATTTTATAACGAAAAAAACAAAGATTTTGTTTTGTTATTACCAATAACTCGGAAGACCAGGCAAGCAAGTAATGTAATAAGAACAAAACCTGTATTCCATGAATGATGATCACTAACAGTTGATAAACCCATAAACATAAATATAATTGTTTCCATAATACTTGATAACATTTTAAGAACATATTCTGTTGTAGCATCAGATTTTTTTGAAATATTAAATGAAACATATTGTTTCATAACCATACCACAAAATGTTATACTAAAGATAGAAAATAAAATAATTTTATGTAATTACTAATTGGAAAAGAATACATACGCTAAAATGCCTGAAACTGAAACCATTTCTGATGTAAGATAAGCCAAATAAGCATAAACAAGAATAATAAGTGGTTCAAGAACAGGTGTATGTTCAGTAAATTTTGTTGTAAAACATGCAACAACACCAAATATAATTCCAATTAATACGCCACCAAGAGAAACAACAAAAAACGATAAAAAACCCAATACAATATCCATTAGAATTAAATTGTCTTGACCAATTTTAGCAAATGAATCAAACATACGATAAAGAACAACTGAAACAGCATCATTTAATAATGATTCTCCAAATACAACAATATAAAGCATATCATTAACATGTATTTCAGTAAATGTAGCTAATACAGCAACTGGATCAACAGCTGATATAAGTGCAGCAAAGACAAAACATGGTAACATATCAAATTGTGTACCACCATAAAGTGGTGTAAATGAAAAACCCCATAATGTAAGACCAATACATGCTGTATTAAATAGAGTATTCACAATAGCAAGTAAAAGAATTGTACCCAAATTATCAAAAAAAGGACGATTTGGCATAAAATAACCAGCTTCGAGAATAATTGGCTAAATAATTTAAAAATAAACTTATGAAAATTTCAAATAGTTTTTCAAAAGAAAAATATTTCTATGAATTGTAAAAGATCTGTCAGTATGAAATTTTTATTTAACAGAGAATATCCGATCGTCAATTGTTGTGTTGTTGATTCAGTTATTGTCAAGAGAGAAAAAAAAGCATTAAGTATTATTCAATTTATTTGATTTATGACTCTAATATAGCTTCATACAAAATGATTGTATGTCAAATTTCAAGTTTCTTTGTTATTTGAAACTTTTACAAAGATCATTAAGCCATCATGGTTCGTACTAAAGAAACAGAATGGAACAGGGTATCCATTGGGCTAAAGTTTCCAAGATTTAGTTCTAATTCAACTAAGTGGATTGAATCGATCTTTTTGATAAGTTTATCCCTGATGCATCCTCCAAAATTTCGACGGAAATTTTATCGCGTGACATGACTATACAATGACATATATATTTCTAAGAATATAATTAAGGAAAGATTTGTTCAACGAAGATGTTATCACGATATGTCATATATGATTCATCAGTACCTTCATATACATGGTTTGATCGCATGATTAAATGGCCCATACATAGTTCATTTCATCTATTATCTTTTTTCTCTGTCTTTAAAATCGATTTCATTATGTCTTTTGTTCTCGCAATCTAGGTGAACGTTATCTAATGGGTAGGGTGTAAACTACTCGAGTCAACTCTACGACTCATGGGATGAAAGAAAAAAAGAATGGAATTAAGGCCCACTCATTGAGCTATGCACTGAATTATAGATGACTCATAGTTTGCAAAAATAACAAAAAAACATTTTCCAACATTTCTCGTTCAGATCATTATATTTTCCATTGAAATCAGTCAATCAAATTCTTAACTATATATTAAATTAGATATTATTTTATTTCAAAATGATAAAAAAAAATTATTCTAATTTGTCAAAGACAAATTCAAACAAGTCTAAACTAAACACCGACAAATATATGTATATATATATATATTTATATTTAATTAAAAAAACGATCATAGATTATATTTAACGAAAGAAAAAATTTCTTTTCTTTATTCTTACCGGTAAAAGAAATAAGAAAAACGTATCACTATTAAGTACATAAGCTTTTTGTTCTGCTAAATGTGTAATGTAAAGTAAACCGCCGACAATAAGACCAAGAATAATTAAAAGACAACTTTCAGGAAATTTTTCTGTTAAGCGATGTGACAAATGGAAACCTGTAAATTAAACAATAATAATAACATTAAAATGTTTTTTTCTATATTAAATTAAAAATCAAACATCATACCAACTTTAGCCAATGAACCAAGTAAAATCCATAATGTAATAGCATAGACATCTGATACATGATCAAAATTAAATTCTGCAACATGAAATCGTGGTACTTTTGCTTGATTATGTATATATGTTTGTTCTTTACAATAATATTTATGAATGAGTAAACCCAAAATAAGAATAAGAAAAATGTTATGTTTATTTTCGAACATGATAAATAAAATTGGACGGAAAAGAAAAACAAAAATTAACTTTGACGTTATTATCTTCAATAATTTGTCTTCGATAGGATTTTTTGTTTATAAACTCAACCTAAAACGAACAAACAAGAAAATGTTGATATAATATAAATTAGCTTGTATATAAATATGATGTTTCTGTTGATATCATAACGAAAAGCAACAATAGAAAAAAGATTATCATGGTGTACTTTCGAGCTTTCCTAACATGGAATACGACAATAATAGAAAAGTAAAAAGAATTTAAAGAAACCAAATATACGGAATGATTCACTAAGTAAAAGAACGAAATTGTAAGTTTATTGAATTAGTTTCTGCATGTGATAGTAATAATGTTTAATTTCTCTTATCTGTTTTCCAGGCTACATCCTCATTATGAGAAAACCTTTAGCCTTGACCTTACATCATCAGTTTTCTAAATGGTTTGACTTTCGTTCGCAATCAAGAAGACATGTTCATTCATGTTTTTTCACTCACAAAAAAACAAAATATCATATAATTAAATATACGAAATAACTTGTTTATCAACTTGACAATGACTATATTAATAATATAGATTATTGTTTGAAATAAAAAAGAAGAAAGGATCAAAATATCCATGTCAACATATACGAAAAAAACATATCTTACATTGACATTGTATCCAGTACTTGTTTCTATTATTGCCATCGTCAAGAGTCTATTTTGTTAGCCTATTCAAGACTTGACTTATACGATAGGAACCGAATAAGCACAAAACATAGAAGAAAAACAATTACTTGTGCGTTCTGTCTGTGTGTTCTGTTTTCTGCTACAATAATAATGGCACACAAGGATATATGTGTTAGTCGTATACTGAATGAAAAAGATGTGTGTGTCAGGAGACCGAGTGATGCAGGAAGAAAAGAACAACAAAAAAAATAGGCTATTTATGTTGACAGAAGACCAGCAAAAATATTTCTACTAATAATAAATTCTGCTAAATAAGTCAAAGCCTAAATTCGAGCGTAAAAGAAAAACTCAATTTTCTCCTTGCATTAAACATGCAAAAAAAAAAAATCTTCAAACTTGAAAGAAAGAAAAACCAGTATTTTCATGTTCTTATTCAAATATTTTTTACAGACCTTGTTTTGACTAATATAAATGCTAAACTTGATATTACTTGTCAATTTTAATGCGACATATAGATAATATTTGTCTAAAATAAATAAATGATTATTTCTATTAGTAAACAAAAAAAAAAAAATAGTTTCGAAAATGCATATTTGCTCTTGTTTTACTCTTGAAAGAATAAAAACGAGGTAAATGAATTTAATCAGATAATGACAAGAACAAAAATACATCTCAAATGAAAATAGAAATAACAACAAATCAATTGAGAGATAAAGAGATTATTTCTTTTTGGCTACTCTTTTTAAATACTATATTTAATCTTTATCGCTGTCACTTTCAGTTGTAAACTCATCGTCTTCAACTTTATTATTAATTTTTCCATCATCGTCACTAAAATCCCATTGTGGGTGATTATCAACAACTTCTTTGGCTGCTTGAACATCAAGCTAAAATATTTAGATTTAAAAATAATTTTTTTTTTTTTTATTCAAATAAATTTACCGAAAGATTTTCCATAACATCAACATCAAAATATGAATCAGATCTTAAAATAACTGAATAAACATAATGACCAGGTACTTTTGGTGCTGAAAATTTGACTTCAATCTATATAAAATATTTAAAAGAAAAATTAATTAAATTTTAACATATTTTATTTTAATATACTTCTTCGTCATCTTTTAATGTACACAAATAAATAGGTGCACTTATTAATGAGTAATTTTTTCTATCAGCAACATATAACCACCAACATTCTTGTTTTATCTCGAAAAGATAAATAAAGAAATTAAACAAAAGAGAAAAGCATCTTTATTTAAAGATACATACTTCAGAATAAAATGGACAAAAAACACGATGACTAACTTTTGCTTTTGTTTCTAATTTTTCTCTTTTACGTTGTTGTTGTTGAAATCGTTCAAGAAATTTATCTTCTTCATTATCATTATGTTGAGTTTTTGTTTTATTTGATGATGTTTTAGAACGTTCAATTGTTTGATCATTTATTAAATTTTCATTTTCATCATTATTATTACTATTTAATTCATTATCACTTTCATTTATGTTTCGTTTGGCTTGTTCACGACGTCGATGTATATTTAATAGCGAATCTGAATGATACGAGAGGAAAAAAAATGTCGATTCTGTTATATTCGTTTACTTTTTGAATATATTTACCATCAGAATGCTTCGATGAGTCATCATCTAAATACCAGCAGAAAAGTAGTAGTGCGCAATATGTTCTCTTTCAATGAGGAAAGCAAAATAATAACACATAAATTAACGAATTGATTATTCAGGAGGAATAGCTTACTTTATAAATATATTATTTCGAAAGATGAAAAAAAGAAAAGAACAACTGATATGAAGAGTATTTTGATTATTTAATTAAAAAAATGTGACACTTGTGTAAAAAAAGGAAATTTTCTGTCATATCGATTGTTGACAATCAATTTATTTCTTAAGAACAATGTTAAATGTTTAATGATGTTACATTTAGCTTAAATTAAATTAGTGAACAAAAAACTGGAACTATTTAAAATAGAAATCTATATATATATATATGATTGTTTAGAAATTTCAGAACTTGACATGTTCAATTCTTTCTCTTCTCATAATCTTAGGGAAAATAAAAATTGTAAAAGAAGTTTGTTTGTTAATAAATTTCTCTTTCAAATGATACTATTTTCGTATTTAGAATCAAGATAAATAAAATCTGCTGGCAACTATTCATTAAAAGTTATCATTTCTATATATTCGTTTAATTCAAATATTAGATTACGTACCGCCAGAATCTTTTGTATCATTTTTAATTTTATTTTTAATATTATTCGTGTTTGCTAATGCTTGTTTATTCGTTGAAATATTGTTCGTTTTCGAAGATATTGAGTGTCCTTTCTTTTTTCCTTTATCTTTATTAGCTTTTTTTTTCTTTTCTGATTTATTATTCCAGCCTTTCGATGCATTGCACGTAGCTGTCATTTTTAATGTTCCATTTGTCTGTCAGAAAAAACAAGAATTTCATTAAAAATAATAAGAAAAATAAACGAAACACTTTCTTAACCTTGTCTCGATTTTCTTTATCATCAATTTGTTCGTCATTTTTTGCATCATCAAGTGTATTAACAACAGCAAAGGTATTTGTATTTATTTCTTTACTAAATAGAGATGACATATTTTCACGATGTAAATGTACTGTTAATGTCACAACAGCTCCTGTTGTTATTATATGTTCATCTTCATCATCAAAGACTAAAGAAAATATAAATATTATACATATAGTTATTTTTATTATTATTTTTTTGGTACATCGACAATTGAGAGTAACATAAAACAACATTGTGTAAGTCCAGTTTTCTTATATAAATCATTACTAAAGTCAAAAGTTAAACAAATCTCTTGATCTTTTGGTAGATTTTTACCTTTTGTTTGTTCATCAAAAGTGCCGATAAAATGTTCTTGCTATTCATTCATGTGTACATAAGAAACATGTATTTTTTCCGTTCGTTATTTTAGATTATAATCTCTCAGTCATAATCAAATTTAAAGAATTCAGTTCCTGTGAAGCACCTAGTTGACAACATATCCAAGCTTTTCGTAGAGAATAACATGCAAATTTCATTATGTTTGAGAGATTAAAATTTAAAATAACAAACGGTTAACTGTATGTTACTTATGTCCACATAAATAAATAGCTAGAAGATTTCATCGATGTTTTTGATACGCAAACAAAAATTTTGTGCAATTTTTGATATAAATAATTATTAATATGAATCAACTGAATTTACACGCTGTTTTGTACGTTAGTTTCACAACTCGACTGTCGTATTACGCACTTCTTTTTATTGCTATCAAGAATCACATACCTCCACATGTTATATTCATTGTTATATGTGGATAAATAGCAAGAACATTCATAATATCGTAATACTGTTCATCTGTAATACTACGTAGCATAGAACGACGTTGTTCATCATCCATTGCAACGAATTGTCGAATGGATTTAATTGTACGCTAAAGAAGAAAAAAAAAGACTTTTAAAAGTATTTCAAGCGATTTTATATTAATTTGCGTAGAAAACTTAAGAATCTAATGAAATAAAATTGAAGCCTAAAATAAACGATGATGAAAATTGAATCGAATTTTGACTACTTTTAGTCATGCATATCGGTAAATAAAGATTATTATCTTGTACCATTGTTTGTATCTTTGATGATAAGATATAAAACTGCAGTCTGCAGATAAGTGAACTTCAGTTTAGATTAAATGAAAAATTGATAATGCTTTTTTTGGGCCTATTTCTGACGGTAGAAAAGGTTAATACAATGAAAAATGCACTTATATTTATACATTGTGGTACGGATAATTAAATCATATTCATCACTAAAATAGCAAAAGTGTCACACGAACGTAACAGATGAGATATAAACATATTCGAGTTGAAATGTATTAATTAATAGAAAAACAAAACTTTCATTTCTTAGCTCACGGATTATTTTGGAAACAATCTTGAGTTTAATGTTTTCATAGATGCTTAAAATAGAATACATACATTCATCTCTCTTAGAAAATATTATTTAATAATTTTAGGTCAATAAATATTCAAAAAAATTGTATATTTAATACAATTGTATTTTTAGAACATAACTATGACTTCGTGATTCTATGTACTTTAAAAATAAATATGTTTGATCTTGAAAAAATCTTCAAGATTTAGATTTTCTCTTCCGAAAGGATCAAATCGATTTTCGAATCGGTGCTACCTTCACACTAGATAAGACATCGTTTCGAATGAAAAATGAAATTCTACTATTATCAAATAAAACTTCTGACTTTATTATTAAATCAATAAAAATTTCATACTTTTTTAGTTTCAAAAAATCTTAATTGACTTTCAGTGATATGTGGTAATTGAAGAAGTGAACTTTTTGTATTTAATAATGCTTGTATAAGCATAGATGATAATTTCATTGTATTTTCAATTGTATCAAGTCGTGGAGCATTTTTTACTTTAATGAAAAACAAAAAAACGAGAACTCTAATTCAAGTCTCAAATTTTTTTTTCTGTTAAACATACATCGTCCAGCATGTCCCATAGCAACAAGTTGTGCTTCAATATTAATCATTTCATTAATTAAATATATCGATCGTCTTACAACATATCGTTTATCTAATATAAATACAAAATAAAAAATAATAAAATAAAAAAAATTTAAATTTAAAATTGTACCTTTTTCAAGATTATCACTTAATGTATTAAGTCGTTGAAGATGTGCATGAAGTAATGTACGTGCTTTTATACTGTATGGTGCTTGAAATGGTCTTTCTTTAGTTTTTTCTTGTGCATCAGGTAGTTCTCTAAATAGCTAAATAAGAAAAAAAAAATTTTATATTGATACTTTCTCTTTTTCTTTTTCTTTATAAAACTAACTTTTGGTAACTCAGTATTATCGCTTGGTCGATCAATAATAATTGGATTTCGTGTACGATCAAATTCTGTCGATGCGCTTAAAATCATAATTGCACCTTCCAGCAAAAAGAAAAAGAAAATTCTGAATTTATTCATTTTCTTTTTGGTATATTCATGAGCAAAGTTCCTCAAATGATTGACGCCGTTTTCAATGATATTTTATCCATATGTTGGTGACATTATTCTAAGAAAAGCTCTACGAGAGCTGAAATCGATGAAGTTTACTTCAAAAGAAATAGACTCGATAACGGCTTGAATCAGTAAGGAACCTTCTTCTTCGTCATCAGTGTTTCATTAAAGGAAAGGAAAATCTATCAGAGAATTGGCAAATAAAAATGAAAACAGTATTGTCATTACATATTATAGACAAAAAAAATGAAATTATTTATTCAGTTTTAAAACATACGTTTAATAATTATTGATGATGTTTTGCTAAGAAATACCCAATAAAGATGAATAGTATCAATTAATATATGATCACCAGCATAGCGTGCTGATTTTTGCCACCAAACACACTTTTATAAATAAAGAAAAAGTTTTTGTTTCAAAAGAAATAATTATCAATTTACATACAACAATAACTGGAAGTACAATCATAAATACACCAGTATAAATTAAAAGAACGAATATAGAATTTTGATGATCGACTAACCATTTTGGTAATGCAATACCAAAACGAGTAACTAAAAATGATATAAATTTTAAGACGAAACAAAAAAGAATTTGCCGAAAATAAACCTCCTGGCCCGTCAGGGTTTCCATATTTTTGCCAATTTCCTTTTGCTTCTTCATCAGTTAAAGTTTTATAAGCTTTAGCAATTTCTTTCTGAATGAAAAACAAATATTATGTGTCATTTATTATCAAATGATTTCTTTTGGTTTTTAAAATTTCTCTACTTACAAATTGTTCAGGGTCACCACCACGATCTGGATGATGTTTTTTACTTAATTCACGATAAGCTCGTTTTATTTCACTAACTGTTGCTTCCTACAACAAACAATTAACTTCTTTTTTTTATGTATGAAAACCACGTAAAACTTTACTCGATCAATATCAAGCACAGCAAATGGGTCATATTCTTTATGTTCAATTTCTATTAATGATACACGATAAGCAAGAACTAAAAATATTATCCATGCTAATAAAAAACCAATTTTACTAAAAATAGAAAAAATAAAATGAAAAATTAGAATTTCTATCAAAATCAAATAAATTATGATGACTTTTTTATCATCATCTGTTATGGAGATGTTAGACATAGAGAAATCTGAACGATTAATCAATCATAGTTTATAAATACTGACTTTTATTTGTAGAAAATTACTTTACTATTAGCTATGATAATAATACATCGTGCAACTCCCTTAAGATCAATAGAAATTGAAATTATATAAAACGCAACGGAAATTATTGTTTTCTGTGAAATAATTTTTTCTTTCATAAACTCACTTCTTTTTTCATAATCGAAGTAGATTTTTTACATTGTTTGTTCGAAGGCTGTTCTAAAATTTTCTCATAATGTTTTGATATATTTTAAACATTTTATTCATGATCTATTATATCCGATAGTTTGATAAAGTTGCACTTCACTCTCTATCATAAGACCGCAATAGAGACTTACATCTGCCATTTATCTCCATCTAACAAACATCATAACACATTATAGTTAATCTTTTTTTTTTTATCTTAAGCCTCAAGGAAAAAATCTAAAAGGATTTCATCAACTATAAAAATAGATCTGTACTCTTTGATTTCTTAATTTACTATAAGTGACTTTGAACTGTTGTTTTTTAAACAAAAGATTACAGTGTTTGCGTGATATTTAAAAAAGCTTGTAATGAGTTATCAAAAAGTAATTTGAAAACATTAAGTTAGCTAGAATTAAAATTTTCTGTTGTGTCCGAATATGACTTGAAAACTTTTGTAGAACTACTGGTTTATTACTTAAGAGCCGACCTTTTGCAGGCCCGTAAATTAAAAACTTCAACGCGTAAAAAGTTACTCAAAATAAAAGCAAAAATGATTTCAAGTACAAGGAATGAAAGAGCAAACATTTCTCTATCAAATGATTGGATAATGATTAATTCACTGCAAGTCGTTTGTCAACAGTGAGTAATTCGAGTAAGGTACATCGTGTCAATTTAGGTAAAATGCTCGATTTCTATGGAAAACAGTCTTGCAAAGTGAGCTCAGTCATTTCTGAGCCCCTTGAATCTTATATTAATCTGTAGAGAATAAATTCGCCATTAATTCTATGCAACAAAATCGGTGATATAACGTATGCAGTAAAGAAAATTAATGTTGACAAAAAACGTCAATTTTCTATGTCCAAACTTAATTCTGACGCCTTTAAAAGATTCTGCAGGCTCCTTTAAGAGGCTGAAATATGAAGGAATAATTTGTTAAATTACTTTGCCATAATCCATTAGTACGTCGACAATTTTACACACGATTTGTAAGCTAAACACTTTCAGAGAGTTCAACACGTAACATCTTCATTTTACTTCTATCGAAATCGAAAAGATTCAACTGCTTTCTCATGTCATCTGCTATGTCTTTTTAAAAATATCACATGGTATCACAAAAGTTTTCCGACATTTAAAAAAAAATCAATTTATTTCAAAAGAAAACAAAGTCATATAATAACAATATAATGCTTCAAAAGCCTCATTAGACGACAACTGGAATTAACTATGTTCATTTGCAATCAATTCACCATCATGTTTTTCCATTGAATATATTCGAAGAAAAGTACCAATCACTTCCTGCACATAAGTAATATCAACTTTCTTTATCGCTTTCTCAACGCGAATTGTTGATCATTTTGATCTTATCATATTCCACATGATTTGATACTTTATCCTAGCTGAACCAATCCTCTGGATTTAATTCTGAAGCATGTGGTGGCTGCTTTTCTTTCAAAATGAAGAAATTGAAATTAGTTTTGCACTATTCTTCAGCTTTTCAATTGGCATGAGGGCTACTCACATCTTGTTGAAAGCCCCTATTTTGGTGTCGAAAATAGCCTGTTACGCTTCCTTTAATAACGTGGTAACAATTGGTCATAATAGCTTTTACCATTTAATCGTTCCCATTTTTGCAAAAAACATCAACATGCAAGTTCATCCCATGTTGGATCCAATGTAATCATGATGGTCATCGGATATTTTCTCATTTCATGCAATCCATCGCAGTCATTAGCATCAGATCGATTACCAGTTAAGATAATGTCATCTTTTGGATTAAAATAACAATTTTTAATAAGTATTTTTTCATTAGTAAATATCATTCTTTCCAATTTATCACGATTAATATTTTTCCTAATCAATTGCCAACATTTTTTCTTATTGGCTTTTGAGCTTCTTTTAACTTTTGAATATTAATTTCTCGATAAAATTTTTGTTTAAGTCTTCATTGATCCCTCGCATAATTGTTCCAGTATTACTTTTCAAGTCTTTAGCCATTGTTCGTAAACATTTTCAGAGAACATTGAATGAAAACTTTTCTTCACCAAATCAATTAGTCGTTTTGTATGGCCAGGTTTTAGTCTTCTTGATTTTGCTTTAACACCAATTGAGTCAATTTATTTATACAGATGTAGCCAGCGATCAATTGTATTTCAATGAACATTATTCGCGAACAGATTGGCAATCTCTGGCGGCTTTTTCTTATTTTTGTAGCGAGGAATAGCTACATCTCGTGGATAGTCACTGTCAACCATTAAGACAACAACCAAAATCAAGTTAAAAAAATAACAAACTATCAGACCGATGCAGGACGTTAGTGTCTACTAAAGTCATATAAAATAAATCGATTATCGCAACAAAGGAATAGCAAAGAATGACTTTTGAAAATGTCCCACAACTTTTCTCACACCCAATATCAATTCAAAGTCAAGTACAGATATATGATTTCTTACGTCAATGTAGCTCGGCGTCGTCGACTAGGTTCATTTGCATGTAGCAATTGATGTTTATAACGACATGGAGCAAAATTCAATGTATCTTCAGGATGTGGTGTACTTTCTAAATATTTCATAATAAATAAAATATTCATGATTTTCTTTTCTTTGTTATCTTACTTCTTTTTTCTGACTTCGGCCATAGCCAATAAGTTGTTGGTACAAGAATTAATGCATAAAATGACAGAAAAAAGTAATAAAATTTGCCACCATTTTCGTCATACTAAAATTGAAAACTTCACTATTTCTAATCGATACAAAAAAATACCATTACCAACCTCAAATTTCATTCCAGCCATAATATTCTTTCTCTTTTTTTCTCTCTTGCCGAAATATTTATCGATACAATACCATTAATTCTTCTTCATTTCTTTTTAATTAATCTTAAAAAACTAAACCAAAAAAAAAAAAATTTAAATAAAGCAAGTAGATATATAATTTTCAAGAACAAAGATTTATTTGATTCAAATTCTGGTTTGTTTTGTTAAATAGCAATAAAAAGATTAAATTAAACATAAAACAACGACAAGAAAAAAAGCAAGCAGACATTCAAATGCACTAATCATTGGTTTTTTTGTTCATTCTAACGGAAAAAACTGAATAGATTAAAAAGAAATATCATCACAACAACACAAGAAAAAAAAATCAGACATTTAAATATTTGTATACTTTTTGTAAACAACAAGATAATATTTTTAGTAGAAATTAAAGAAGAAGAAAAAGAACAGCAATGTTTTGTTTTGTTTTTTGTCCACTGTGTATTAAATCAATAAATATTTTTAACGATAATTTTGAAGTAATTGAACAACATATTTAGAACTAATTTGTCCAAAATGTGAATTTAAATATTCTCGACCACCATGTTTAAGCCATTCTTGTTCAAAATCACTTTCCAGTATTTCAGCACCTTTTTTTGATGTTAAACCTGTTTCATCTAGACTTAATTCACACATATTCATATCATCAACACCAGCAACAAGAAGTACTGCTTCTTTATTTGGATGAATTTCCATTTGACGAGCAATCCATTTATCTAGAAACAAATCGAAAAATCATTGATAAAGAATCAAAAAAGAAAAAGCAAATATTTGATCTTACCATCAAAATGAGCATACCACCATCCTTTCTTTTTTTGATCATCATGTGTATCTCGATTTTGATCATGAGGACGAATGAATGGAATACGAAAGTATCGCTGTTCTGCTCCTTTACCAGCACTAATCGTTTTCAAGCTAACATTTGTTGTTAATTGTCTAGGCTTTTTTAATGATTCAGTTGATTTTAATGGACCACCAGTCATTGAAGGTGGAACCACTTTTAAATAAAAATATTATCAATTAAATTTATTGGTTTATCAAAATATCAATATAAGACAATTTTAGAACTAACTATTTGAATTTCGAATTCAATTAAATAGATTCGAATTTACTATCTATTATAAAATTATAATTATGTAGTTATAAACATGAATAACTTCTTGGCTATGAAAACGGATGTTTACTAACACTATGTATTAGCTTCCAGGATTTATTTTTCGAGATCGTTTACAATTTTTCCCATAGATCCCGTTATACATTTTATTATTGAAATAAATAAATTAGGATGAGGATAATCAACTTAGTTCAAAGTGAGAGCAAGAATAATACTTAGAGCTGGTCCATGCGAATTATGATTCTCTTTTAGTACACTTAAAGTGTAATATATGTTATTAATAGATAAACTTCTTGGATCAAATAAATCCTGGATAGCCTCTCGATCCGTATACGACCTTCACTGTTCACTGAATTACGAAAAACTATGATTTGTTTACGTGTTGTACTGAGCTTTAAATAGCAAAGTTACGAAGAAAATACAGATAGACATATCAATCAGTATGAGTTCTTTCCATTTTAAATTGTTTAACGATAAATATCAAGTGAAAGCATATATGTCTAAAACTGACAGATAAAAATTTAGTTGAATTCAAAATAAGAACCACTGAAGAAAATTAATTCGAAAAAAACTTTCTGCAATATTTTGATTTTTTACAGCCTTCAAAAATGATGGATTTATATATTTGAGTTAATGGTACCTACGTTATCGAAATCCCAATTAATTGCAATATTTCAAAAGAATCGATATAAGAACCATTTACATAACAATTATTCATTTATTTTTCTACTGCTGACAGTAAGAAAAACTATACTTTTATGTATTTGTCTTAAAAAATATTGTTAGTATTTCCAAGACATGACATCTGTTTGGAAACTTGATACTAAATATTGACTTTCTGATTAGTTTCAACTGATAAGAAAATAGACATGATTATTTTATTTTTTCAGCTCTTGTATAATCTATCTGATTTTATTAGAAAAAAAACTATTTTAATCTACAATAACTTCTGTGATTAGTATATTATTTGAAGAAATAAATTCTATTATTTTCATTTAGATCAATTTCAAGAACAATGACACTGTAAGCATGATTTTACGATATAAATTGTATATTTTTCTTTATTTAGATTAATATCAACTTTAATTTCATCAGTAAATATATTACTGAAATAAAAAATTAAACTTTTATCATTACGGCAAGGAAGAAAGAAAAACTCACCTTTCTCACTTATGAGAATATAACAATAATCGACATCATATATGAAAGTATTCAATAGTCATAAGTCTCGTACTAGGTTCCTAAGGAAATTCTTAGAGAATTCCTGTCGTGATTTCTCGCAGAGTTTATAATGGATTTCTTGGGGATTCTTTTATGGAAGGTTGGCTAGAGTTACTCATTCAGTAACGTTTAAAAATATTCTAGCTTAATCGTTATTATTTTATGAACATCAGCTAAAATCGTTAATTTAGACGATTTAATCTTATGATTAATCAACTTCATAAATTGTCGATTTTAGTGGTATAGTTATCATTTTGAATATTTACTGTTCATTATTATTATATGACATGAAATTCCAAAGAACAGATCTTTGTACGCGAACTTTTAGAAGGCCTTATATGATGAGTTCTCTCTGAATTCTTTGATTAATTCTTGATTGAAATATTATTGTTTATTTATATGGCATGGAACTCACAATAGAACAATTGGACTTCAGTGTATGACTAATTTTGTTTAATATTTTGTTCATAAATAAACTTACTATTATTTAAAATATCCTTTGGAGCTCGTTCTTCATCTTCATCCATTTGATCATCTAAAGCTGATGGATTTTTTCCTTTTCGATTTTTTGATCTCCATGCATGATAAACTTTTAAACGTCGATGAAATTCTTCTCGACAAGCTTCAAGTAATTCCACATCTATTAAAAATATAAATAAATAAAAACTTTTCCTTTTTTTCTTCTTTTGTAATTTATTTACCACAAGATGTATTAATCAAATCACGTAATTGAGCATATGTATGGTTACTTAAATCATGCTTTTGATTAGCATTAGGACGACGTGTTCGTTGTAAATGTGGTAAATCAGCTTCACCACCTGTTTCTAAAGCAAGACGTCGTGCTAGATCATAATCACGACGTTCACGTTCATTCATTTCAGCCAAACGAGCTTCTTCATCGGATTCTTTTGCTAGACGTTCTTTCTATAGAAAGATGTTTTCAAATGTATTTTTTTATTTGATGATATTGATCTTAATAATTCTTACTTGACGTTTTGTTTCTTCAGCAGTAAGTTTACCTTTAAACTGTTCTTCTTCTTTTTGACGTTGAACGATAGCTGAACGTCTAATGTTCATAGAAGAATTCTTAATATAAAAAATAAAACAAGAATTTCTAAAATTCTTACTGTCGAAATTCTTCTTTTTCTTGTTCTAAACGTTTTTCTTCAGCAAGCTTTTTCTTTCTTTCACGTTCAAGTTCCATCTAAATATTTAAGGTTGTTTTTATATTTATTTATTTTTTGATAATATTATATTAATTAAATAATAGAGATTGTTTATTTATTTACTTGAATTTTCTTTAAACCTTCTTCTTTTTCCTTTATTTCTTGTTCAGCAAGAACTTGTTTTAATCGACGAAATTCACGTTCAATGGATGAAACAAGATCATTGTATGCATTATCAATATGTGTTGAATTCATAGATGTATTCTAAATTTTCAAAAAAGAAAGTAAAGTTTGAAACAATTTCGATTTTAATAATTCATGTTTATTTATAAAGTTCTCAATACTTCTTTTGCTTTTCCTCTATTTATGCTCTTTTGATCGTACGACTTACAATTCTCAATGAGCCTTCATTCTACATAGTTAACCTTTTTCTTGTTTGAAAGAATATGTCAAGATATCAGACACAACACAGTCTCTTGTTTTGAATTAAGCTTTGTCACAATTATATAACAAAGTACTTCTATAATTAGCGCCAGTTTTTTAGAATTTTTTGAAGCATGACACACTTGTCATTATTTTTCTCCGGACAAAAAATAAGAATTTCCAAAACATGGGCTCTGCTAGACGCTGCAATGTGGCGTGTTCTTTCAAAAAAAAACACAATTAAACCTGTAGAATGAGGATTCACAGAGAATTTCGGATCGCCAAATGAGCTATTTTTTATCTTTGCCTGTGGAATATCTTCCGGAAAAGTTAAGATACAGGACTGAAAATGTCATGCTATTTGAATGTATCTGGCATGAGATCAATTCTTGAGGGGAAAGAGTGTGACCTTAATACTAAACTGTAAGTTGTAACAATATATCCGGAATCTTGTNTGGTTTTGGCCGAAAAAAACTCGAAAGACTAATTTTCTCGATAACCTGTAAAAATGACTGAAGTTTTGAATATCATGCAAAATACTTGTGTTTATTGTGGTTTTAAAATTCGAAAGCTGGGTTTTTGTAATTCCTGTGGTAAAACTGTAAAAAACACTCGATTAGTCGTTTTCATGAACTGAAATGAACTGCGTCCTCCCACAGTATGAGTGACATGTTGAAAAGACTTTCTGCACATTTACAAATCTATCATGTACTTTTGTATGAGTGATGAAAATCAGATTTTTAGTGGATTACCGCCAACACACCAAAATTGAAAAGATTATGCATCTTTTGAAAACAAATAAGAATCCCTTACTTCGAAGATTCATTTTTTCGATATTACAAGTAACATTATAGAAAAAGACCATATACTTGCTAATGTTGACCATCAAGATTTTGCTTTCAAATAAAATGCATATGATATTAGAAATCGATATAACACATTGCATCGAATGATATCTATTTCATCAAAACATAATTATCTCCGACATCTGATCCGAAGAGGCAGGCATTCAGACGGCACCGTCTCCCGTAAACCAGAGGGAAAGTAGAGATTGAATTTCGATGGCAAATATTTTTTGATGAGTTCTATATCATTCGGTGCAATGAGATATATCGATTTCGGATATCATATGCATTTTATTTGAAAGCAAAAACTTGATGGTCAATATTTTCAAGTACGTGTGGGTGTGTCTAGCAACCATTATCGCGATTTCGTCTCGGCTAAGTGACTCATTAGATGGCTTCGACTTTGTATCTCTTCGAAGATGATTCGAAAATCATAAACAAGATACTTAAACTATTCACAATCAAAAAGTTTTCGAAGAAATTTTCGAAAGGATTGATATTTTTAGATTAGGCGTGTGTCTTGAAGATGTGAATGTGTATGTCACAGTTGACATGAGAATTCAGTTGAGTCTGGAATGCCTTCTGTAAATAGTATGAGTCATGCAATAATTAATTCTTGTTTATTTTTATTCTCAAGTTTTTGAATTATAGCGATTTTCAATTATTGATTGATTTAAAATTTTTATTTCTGATTGTATTAAAATATACACAAATAAAAACTTTTCATTTTCATCATTATTAAAGACTAAATATTAGCATTTTATAGACTTTTTTTCTGTTTATAATTAATCGATTGATGTTCGTTGTTATCAGACAATAAAACGAGAAATATTATACATGTCTGTTTGTTTTTAATTACTTAAATTATTTTGTCTTTTCATATGCATGTATTTTCAAATAAAATAAATATTTTTAATTCTAAATTGCAATCTTATATTGATACATTTGCGGAAACGTGTGGGGTGTGGATATGGGTGTGGGTTGGTACAATATGAATGGACCCAAGACTGGAACACACCCACAACTACTAATGCGTATTTAGTGGATATTTTTTGAATAACTTTTAATAGAAATAAGATCGAGAGCTGCGGTTTTCATCGTTCAAAAGAGAACATGAAGTTGCATCGAATCGTATATTATACATTTTCCTAGCATGTTGTCTGAAGTTTGTTTAATCAATTTTACAAGTGTGGAAAAAATGGTTTCTTAGGAAAAAAGAAACAGCAAAAAACACTTTTCTACAAAAGTATCACAAAAATTGCTTAGAGCTTCGACTAGAATGCCTATAAGTTCTCAATGATTAAGTGAAAACAACTGAGCCTTCTGTAGTTGTGTAGATCTTCCATCGGCGGTTTGAAGGGTGTGGATGGATGTGCTGTCTGTATGGGTGTGGATCTTTCCCAATCGATCCCACTCCCACCCTTTTTCCCAGTTCATTAGAAGACAATAAATCTAATGCGCACTCACAGCTCCCTATAACTCATAATTTGGTCAAAGAGCAAAAAATAAATAAATAAGCCAGAGCTAAGTGTGTCGGTTAATCCCTTTTCTCATTCACACGATCATTGGATTAATCAAATGACACTACATAAGTATGCAGACATACAACGGATCAAATCACATCATTAACAAATTAGACAGATTAATGCTCTATTTTCTAAAATTATTTTATCAATGACATCGTTCGAACAGCTGCAGAAGGCAAAATTTTAATTTTAATTCGAGTATGGCAATACTATTTTCTTTCATACATGTAGCTCGGCGTCGTCTACTAGATTCATTTGAATGTAATAATTGATGTTGATAACGGCATAGACCGAAATTCGATGTATCTTCAGGATGTAGCATACTTTCTAAATATTTCATCAAGAAAAAAAAATATTCATGGATTTTTTTTCTTGCATCTTTTTTCCGACTTAGGCCATAACTAATAAGTCATCGGTATAAGAATTAATGCATAAAATGATTAAAAAATATTACCACCATTTTCGTCATACTGAGTTAAAGTAAAACCTCGGATATTTTCGAAGCCGTATAAAACAAATCTCATTATCAGCCTCAAATTTCATTCTAGACATAATATTCTCTATTTAATCTTCTATGTTTATCAATGCAATACTATTAATACTTCATCATTAATTTAATCGTTTTTCAAAACAAAGAACAAATGAAATCTGAAACATATAAAAGAATGAATGATGTTCGAATACACACATATTTATTTGATTCATAGTCTTGTTTGTTTGTATTTTTTTTCTTTGTTAGATAGCAATAAAAATATTAAATTAAGCATAAAACAACGACAAGAAAAAAAAGAATCAGAGAATTAGATTTTTGTATGCTTTTTTTGTAAACTAGATGAGAAGAGTTTTAGTAGAAATTAAAAAAAAGAAAGAAGAAATAATGTTTTTGTTTTATTTTGTTCACTGTGAATTAAATCTATTTTTATCAACGATAATTTTGAAGTAATTGGACAACATATTTCGAACTAATTTGTCCATAATGTGAATTTAAATATTCTCGACCACCATGCTTGAGCCATTCTTGTTCAAAATCGCTTTCAAGAATTTCACTACCTTTCTTCGATGTTAAATCTGTTTCATCTAAACTTAATTCACACATATTCATATCATCAACACCTGCAACAAGAAGTACAGCTTCTTTATTTGAATCAATTTCGATTTGACGAGCAATCCACTTATCTAAGAAAGATTTTTTTTAACGAATAATAAAAAAGGGTACATAATTTCTTACCATCAAAATGTGCATACCACCATCCTTTCTTTTTTTGTTCACCATTTATTTCTCGATTTTGATCATTACCACGAATAAATGGAATACGAAAATATCGTTGTTCAGTTGCTTTACCACGACTTGTCTTTTTTGAATAAGCAGTTGTTGCTGGTTGTCCACTTTTTCTTATTGATCCACTTGCTGTTGATGTACTACCAGTCATTGATGGTGGAACAACTTTTAAATAAAACATAAGAATTTTATTTCGAATTCAATCAACATGAATCTACCGCAAATTTTAGAATTTAGCTTTTCAGGACCTTGAGTGGGTGTGAGAAAAAAATCTATGCAGGGTTGCGATTCTCTTATGATGCAGTTAAAACACGCTAATCTATCTTTTTAATAGATAAACCTTATAAATTCAAATTATTATTCCAGTAAATTCTCATATTTATTTATCCAATGCGATTTAAAGAGTATTGAGATGGAGGAGTAAAATTGTAGATCTTCCTTCCTCCGCAGATCGTGGCAGGAAAAAGATAATAAAGAAATATGTCCCCAGGATTACTACAATTATTGATGATATTAGTTTTTAAAATATTTTCATTGTATGATATTTTATAGATACTTCCCACTAAATATTTTTCGTTTCTGATTAATTTCATCGAAAAAGAAAACAGATGTAATCATTTTTATTTTTTTTTCGTACTTGCATAATTTATCGTGTTTTATTAATCAATCTATTTTGATTAAGAAATAATGTCGATAATAGTATAATTATTCCAAGAAATAAATTGTTTTATTTTCATTAAATAGAATCAGTGTATAAGTTTACAAAATAAAATCTATCCTTTTTTTCCTTTAGCTTATAATGCTCATCGATGATGATCATTGAAATAAAAATATGTATTTACGAAGAGATTTGAACCTGTCATATATGAAAATAAAACAATGAATGATCTCATCATATAAGAAAATATACAATAAGTATAGTTCTTGCATTAGATACCTTGGATTTTCTTTTATGAAATAATTGAGTAGAACTACTCGTTAGTAAATTTTAAAAGAATAATTGTTTAATCTTTGAAATGCTCTGCAAAATCAGTCTCATAAACACATTTATTCAAAGGAGTTACTGCTTGAAAACTATTATTAACGATATCATATGAAAATCGGACAGATTTTTTCACTACATGCATTTTCAGTTTCCCTTGAATACAAAATTTCAGTCCAAAGCACGAATCTCGGTTTTCGGGTAAGAATGTTATATCATAACAGACGAAAAATCGATTCAAATATCACTGGCGAATAGCAATTATTGATCAGAAACAGATATTTGTTCTAATATGCAAAAAAACAAGTTACCCTTCCATCAACCAATCGATTACAATCAGAATAGCACATCAAGAATAGTCATAATAAAATTCATTACCACGAGAACTCTATTAATATGTTTTTAAAGAATCCTACGGATTTCTCAATCAGATGTATTTACAATGCGAACTCGATAATTGATATTTGAACTCGTGACGTATCTAAGTCGGTGCCATTCGTTCTGAAGAAAAAAAGGAGTCATATGAAAAGATGGGCTTTACTGCATCACTGATGTTTTGGGCTAGTAGCTGTGCTTTTTTCTGATTGCACGACTGGGTTGAATGAGTATTTTCTAAGTTTTAATTTTGAAAGTATCAAAATTAGAACGCAAGTAGAAAATGTCCTGCTTTAGTTGCGTTTCTTCAAATGCTGTTGGGCTTCAATGTATGTCTATGTTATTAATGATTAAACCTACTATTATTTGAAATATCCTTCGGAGCTCGTTCTTCTGCTTCATACATTTTATCATCGTGAGCCGATGATTTTTTTCCTTTTTGGTTTTTTAATTTCCATTCATGATAAGCTTTGAAACGTCGATGAAATTCTTCTTTACAAGCTTCAACCAATTCGAAGTCTATTAGAAAAAAAGAAACAATATTGTCTTTTATTCTGTATTTTTGTGATTTATTTACCATCAGATCTAGAAATTAAATCACGTAGTTGATCATATCTATGTTTACTTAAATTATATTTTTGATTAGCAGGAGGAGGAAAAGGACGTTTTCGTTGTAAACGTGGTAGATCAGCTTCACCACCTGTTTCTACAGCGAGACGTCGTGCTAAATCATAATCACGACGTTCACGTTCATTCATTTCAGCTAAACGAGCTTCTTCCTCGGATTCTTTTGCTTGACGTTCTCTCTATAAAAATTGTTTTTGAAATAGATTTTTATTGTGTGATATCGATTTTTTAAATTTTCGTTCTTACTTGTCGTTTTGTTTCTTCAACAGCAAGTTTAGCTTTGAACTGTTCTTCTTCTTTTTGACGTTGAGCAATAGCTGAACGTCTAATATTAAATGAAGAATTTTTATAAAAAAAAAACAAAACTAGAAAAATTCTTACTTTCGAGATTCTTCTTTTTCTTGTTCTAAACGTTTTTCTTCATCAAGTTTTTTCTTTTTTTCACGTTCACGTTCCATCTAAATATTTAAAATTAATAAAACCTGCAAACAGAATTTATGTGTTCCATGTACTTGAATTGCCTTTAAACGTTCTTCTTCTTTAATTTCTTCTTCAGCAAGAGCTTGTTTTAATCGACGAAATGCACGATCAATTGATGAAACAAGATCATTATATGCATTGTCAATATCTGTTGAATTCATAGATGTATTCTAAATATTTTCAAAAAATTTTCAACACTTTTTTAATAGACTTATAAATTAAAAAATAAATGTCGAGCAAAACAGTCTTCTAAGTCTGATCTGTTGTCAATGATATGACGCATCAGTTGTATCCACCCTTCTTCTACTGCGCCTTGTTACGTTACGCTTGCGATTTGTGCGTTTTTTCCTTCTGTATATGCTGTTTAAATGGTGCAATCCAAAATTTTCAGTTTCTTTTTAAAAAATGGAACTATTTTTTCCAAGTAAAAACAATTGAAAAATTATTCTTGTATGTCATGATGAGAGATGTGCGGAACCAATTTTTTTAGTTCCTGTCCCGGTGAATCTAATTTTTCTGTTGCCTGCCACGCTTCAGAGAAAACTGCTGCCGAATTTATTGGTTTCACATGTAAAAAAAATCTTCAATTCTGTTTTTTTTTCATTTCTAACTCGACCATAGATATGTGAGAGACAAAGATTTTTTGGTTCAGATCTCGGGAGCTTTCTTTGGAGCAGCCTCGATCATAATCAAAGTCAATCCACTATGTTCATTATATAGACGACCGGGACTACTTTTTCGTCTGGTCTCGGTCCCGCACATCTCTACTCATGATCTACATTCTGACATTCACTTTCGAGTAGAGAAAAGGGGTTCAATTGACTTTTTACTGGAGAACATGGCTTTCATATTAAATTATGGGCTTTCATAGTTTAGTCCAAATCTTAATTCGATCGATCATAATGTGTCTGTTTTAATTTGATTTCTCCAGTTTTCATTTGTTGAGTTATGCGGATAGAATCGCTAAGAACTTTGATGGTAGAGTTTTAAATTCTAATATAACCAAAAGATGGATAGGTTTTACAGTCACGAAAAGCATTCTTTATTTTAAACAGGAACAAACATAACTGTTATCTATAAATTGAATAGCGAAGATAATACTTCTAGTAGCTATGAAATCTATCTGTAAAGAAACTCTCAATTGAAAATTTGAATAACTATAGACTCAAACAAGTTGAACTTACTGTAATGTCATTAATTAATTGATTAATTCGTTGTCTTAATTGTTGTACTTGTTTCGAAATTTGTTCTTTATTAACTTTCATTTTTCCAACAAGTTCTTCCATTGGTGCAACTTGTTCATGTAATGCTTCAACTTTAACTAAACCTCGGATTCTAAAAATGACAAGAGACAAACAATATGAATAAGATATAATTTTTAATTCTATTTACCGTGGTGCATAACTTTTATAAGCTAAATGCATACGAACATGTCTTTGAATATTAATTAAACATTGACGTCGATAAAGAATTTTATTTTTAACTAAATAACAAAAAGAAAAGAAATCATTATATTGTTTTATTTTATTATCAATTTTATTTACGTTTAATAACTGATAAAACGCACCATTGAACTTTTTTCCATCGCTTCCACAAAAGCCATTTTGTAACTTCTGATATACGTCTGGCTAAAGTTTTCGGATCAGATTTCATAATTTCATCAAATTCAGCGAATTTTCCCGGACGAAAAAACACTTTTGTTAAACCAAATTTAAAATCTGTTTCACGAAGATTTAGAGCTTGAAATAATGCTTTACAAAAAAGACGTGGATCAAGTCGTGCTAATTCTTTTGGTAAATATGACTTATACATTTTATATAGGTCAGCAAATTGTGTGCGTGATGGAAAACCTTGTTGCATTAAATTTAACACCGATACCATACCTATTAAAAAACGAACAATGCATATACCAATATTAATTATAAGAAACTAGCATGTTTTTTTTAAAATCCTACCGCTACATTGCAATTGACTTAGAATTTGACCACCTTCAAATAAATTTGGAACCATTTTGAGGTTTGGTTTAATACAGCGAATGAAACTAATACCCTATTTTATATAAAAGAAATAGACAAAGATTTTAAAATAGAGTTCATTCAGAATCGTTTAGATATTGAGAATCGTCAAAAGTATTTAGAATCAAATGGTTCTTTTTTTGGAAGAAGGGAGGTCAACATTTTTTCGATTCATCATTAAATAACAACAATGCTTAAATCGAAATTCTTCTGTTCTATCAAACAAGAGACGAAACTTCTCATATCACATAGCACTTCTCATGGCTGCATTGTGTAGCACATATTCACAAGGTATTGTATTTCAATTTTCAATCTCATCAGGCATGAAATGATTATGAACAAATCACTAAAGACTATTTGTTTGGAATGATTCAGTCGATAGTATCTTGACTAGGTTATGACACATTTTTGTTATTGTGTTTTTAAAATCTGTCTGGAGAACGAAAACAATTAAGTACACGAGCTATGGGTAGATTTAATCTTTTCTTCAGAGAACGCCGAATGCAACTCAGACTCGATAAGCTCTATTACAGCTAGTCGTAGTTCTATAGAAATTATGCAGTTATTGACAAGATATAACGTAATTGAAACAAATGGGGATTTATACTCATGTAAGTGCAGAATTAAATAATAATGTTTAATTATATTATGCTTATTAATAAACTATTGATTGAAGCACGACTCATGCGATATAATAATAAC